CGTGCAATTCTAGATATGGAGGAAGAACAGATGGAACTTGATCAAGCTCGCCATAATCCGCCCTCCCATTTCGACAATTCATCCTCGCCTACTATTCTTCTCGCTAACTGGACGCAGAACTCCACCACCAACCGCCCGTTTTACAATAATCGTGGAGGTCAAGGTGGTCGCGGAGGTCGTGGAAATAGGGGTGGGCGCTACAATTCTGGTCGCTCATCTTTTGTTCAACAACGCCCCTCATCGCTGGCTCCTGGAACTCAAGGAAGTCCAACCACTTGGGCTTTTGGGTGGTACCCAATTAATCCAGCTCAATCTTCCTTGTCTAATGGGTTGTTGCCAAGCCTAACACCAAATTCAGCACCTTCAACCGGACATCCATCTCCAGCCCATCCGAATCATCACTATTTTTTTGGCCCACCTAATGCGACAGCCCAACAGCCCAGGCGTATGTGCAGCCCACCGGTCCTCAGCCCACTGCTCTACCCGAGATGTTCAACGCTATGTCGTTAAGTCCCCCGCCAAATGACAGATGGTACATGGATACTGGGGCAACTTCACATCTTCATGCAAATCCAGGTATACTAAAAACTGTTTTAAATAATTGCGCTAATTTTTCTTCATCTGTTTTGGTTGGTGATGGATCCTCCATTCCCGTACGTAAGATCGGTCATTCTTCCCTTCCCAATCCTTACCGTCCTCTTATTTTACGCAACATTCTTATCACTCCTCAAATTATTAAAAATCTAATATATATTCGTCATTTCACTTGTGATAACATTGTTTCAATTGAATTTGACCCATGCGATGTGATAGCACCAGTGATCTCTACCCTGTTACCGCTCCTTCTCCTCAAGCTTTTCTTTCTGTTGCTCCGTTTATTTGGCATTGGCGTCTTGGACATCCCGGTCATCATGTGTTCAAGAACTTAGTTGACAGTCGTTCGATTTTGTGTTCCAATAATAGTAAAATTACTAGTATTTGTCAGTCGTGTCAAATGGGTAAATATGTCAAGTTACCTTTTACGTTGTCAAACTCTATTTCTGTTGCTCCTTTTGATTTGGTTCATTCTGATGTGTGGACATCTCCTGTCACAAGTATTAGTGGAATTAAATATTATGTTATTTTCCTAGATGATTTTTCTCATTTTTTGTGGGTTTATCCATTACGTGTAAAATCTGATGTTTTTTTCCAAGTTTGTTCACTTTCGATCTCTTGTTGAAAATCAGTTTAAAACTGACATTAAAGCTTTTCAGTGCGATAACGGTGGCGAATACAACAACCATCAGTTTAAAAATCTATGTGCCACTAATGGGATTCACATGCGTTTTTCATGTCCTCACACGTCTCAACAAAATGGTAAATCTGAACGCATGTTACGATCTATAAATAATATCGTCCGTACCCTCTTATTTCATGCTCGCCTTCCACCAGGGTACTGGGTCGAAGCCCTTCAAATGGCTGAACATCTCATTAATATTCTTCCATCTTCCACCATTAATGATACTCCCGCTCATAAACTCTATCATGTTAAACCCACTTATAATCATCTCCGGGTTTTTGGGTGCTTATGTTTTCCCAATATTGTTGCTCCCAATAAACTGTCCCCTCGTTCTACACCATGCGTGTTTCTTGGATACCCTACCAATCATCGTGGATACCGGTGCCTAAATCTCGATACTCAAAAAATAATCATTTCTCGCCACGTGATTTTTGATGAAACAACTTTTCCATATGGTTCCATGACACCAGATCGTGCTCCGTCTTATTCCTTCCTTGAGCAGTTTGATGTCCCATCCTATTTTGGTCACATACCGCCACATATGTCTACCTCTGTCAACGACAGTGAGTCCGTCGTTGTCAACGAACCCATTCATGAGTCTAAGCCCATTTCTGATTCGACCCAAACCAATCTGACGCCCGAGCAGTCTTCGATTTCATCTCTTTCGGCCCATTCTGAACCCACTCACTCTTCTGTTCCATCTCCTGCTTTGGGTCAGCCCAGTTTTAACGAGCCCACAGCCGACGACTCGATTCGAGCATCTCCTCCTGCTGTGGATCTGCCCGGTGTCGACGCACCTAGTGTGGAGGCGCCTCCTTTCGAATTCACTTCCCTACCCGTCTCTCGTCCTCCTCCTTCTCGGGTTCATCCTCCCTCCTCATCCTCACATCCCATGATGACTCGCAAACAACGTAGTATCACAAAACCAATTGATCGTCTAAATTTACATGTTGACTCCTCTCAAGTTGCCTCCTCTCCCATTCCTCGATCTTACTTACAGGCATTTCGGGATCCACATTGGCTCAAGGCAATGCAAGAAGAATTTTCTGCACTTATTTCGAACAACACTTGGGTTCTTGTTCCACGACCCGCTACCGCTAATGTCATTAATTGCATTTGGTTGTTTAAGAAGAAGCTCAATGTGGATGGTTCCTTATCTCGTTATAAAGCACGTCTCGTGGCGAACGGACATGCTCAGCAGCCCGGTATTGATTGTGATAAGACGTTTAGTCCGGTTGTTAAACCAACATTCATTCGTACAGTTCTCAGCATTGCATTTACTCATAAGTGGCCTATTCGCCAGCTTGATGTCAAGAATGCGTTTTTGCATGGTAATTTACATGAGGCTGTCTATATGAATCAACCTCCTGGTTTTCGTGACCCATCTAAACAGGATCACGTGTGTCTTCTAAAGCGGTCTCTTTGTGGTCTCAAACAGGCATCGCGGGCTTGGTTTCAACGCTTTACTGTGTTTATTACTCGGTTTGGTTTTACTAACAGCAGGTGTGATTCATCATTGTTTATATATAGGCAAGGGTATCATGTTGCATATCTTCTTCTTTATGTTGATGATATTATTCTCACAGGGTCCTCACCTCAGCTCTTGTCATCTATTACTTCTACTCTTAGCTCAGAATTTGCCATGACGAATCTTGGCGATTTGCATTATTTTTTGGGCATCTCTACTTCCCAATCTTCTGATGGTATTTTTCTATCACAACAAAAGTATGCTCTTGAGATTCTGGAACGAGTATCTATGTTGAACTGTAAACCTGCTACCACTCCTGCTGATCTTTCTTCTAAGATTGATGACACCGGTCCTCCGGTTGTTGATCCGACTCTCTATCGTAGTTTAGCGGGTGCATTACGGTATTTGACTTTTACACGACCCGATCTTACCTATGTTGTTCAACAAGTGTGTCTCTGCATGCATGATCCCCAGGAACCTCACTTCAATGCTCTCAAACGCATTCTCAGATATGTTCGAGGTACAATTCATCACGGTCTTCAGATCTACAACTCATCTAATCGTGACATCATTGCTTACTCTGATGCTGATTGGGCCGGTTGCCCGATCACTAGACGTTCTACATCTGGCTATTGTGTGTTCTTGGGGCACAATCTGTTATCCTGGTCCTCTAAACGCCAGACCACTATTTCTCGCTCTGCTGAAGCCGAATACCGTGGGGTTGCTAATGCGGTCGCTGAAACGTCTTGGATTCGCAATTTACTTCTTGAGTTACATTATTCTCTGCATAAGGCTACCATTGTGTATTGTGATAATGTTAGTGTCGTGTATCTGTCGTCAAATCCGGTTCAACATCAGCGAACAAAACATATTGAGATAGCTCTTCACTTCATTCGAGACAAGGTTGCTACGGGACATGTTAGGGTTCTTCATGTGCCCTCATCTTTTCAATATGCTGATATTTTCACAAAGAGCCTTCCATCGCCATTATTTTTGGATTTTCGGTCCAGTTTGAATGTCTGTGTTTTACCTCCCGTTCAAAACTGCGGGCTGTTAGTGGACCTATTTAGCATTATGTTTTGTATTATAATTAGTTTATTATAGCCATTCGTAAGTGTGCAAAGGTCTATGCCCACCTCATGTATTGATGTATATATATGATGTTTAATGAATTGAGATGGATTCATGAGAAAATAACGTGTTAACAAATTGAACTTAAAGAAACTCATATTTTACTTCAATTTATTTATCTTAAAGCTTAGTTTCATTTCAAGTAACCTAGTGTTTCATATCATTACAAACCGAAAATATAATTGTCGTCCTTCAACAAAAGATGACAACGCCAAGAAAAGGTGATATCATATTTGAGTAACATTTTTTTTTATAATTATATACCAAATACCTACTTTTACAACTATTTTAAATATTACAGAACAAAGATATATTATCCTTGCTTGTTAAATGCACACTATGCCTATGCAACAATGTTCTAAATTTTTTTTTCTTAATTAATATAGTCTAGTGTTAACTGTTACGCTTCATTTTAAGACCAAAATAAGCAAATATTTTGCTAGTAACTTGTTTAATCGGCTAAAACCCGCCGAGTTACAATGTTGCATTTTTTTGTTGTAACATATTTGCATATTTTGCTTATAAATTTATATTTGTCATATAAATTTAAAAATACAGAGTAAACTACATTTTTGATCCTTGAGATACTGATATTCACAAGTTGATCAAAAAAGTTGTAGATTATGATTTTGTTCCTCGATTGAGGTTCTTGTAAGATTTTTGGTCCTTGTTCCAAACAAATAACTATTTTTGGTGTGAATAAAGTTGCTTTTTTCCATTTTAGTCCAAAAATTAGTAGTAATTCATTTAAAACAATGACCAAAAACGTTACAAATGCATGAAATAAGGACCAAAATTGCAAGGAAAAACCTTTTGGGACGAAATGCAAAAACAACTATAATTAGGGACCAAAAACATAATTTACTCAAATAATATATATAAAAAAGAAAGAAGCCAAATAGCATTATAAAAATGACGCATATTAGAAGCAGTAGTCCTTTATTGACATTAAAAGAGTTCAAATAATCTTGGTACAAAGCTTCCACTTTTCCCCTTATTCATACATGAGCAAAAAGATTATACACAAAATATGTTACATATTCTTTTATGAACAAAAAAGAAAGGATGCAACAAACACACCCAACTAAAAATTATATATAAAAAAACCAATAAAAATTCATACTAAACTTTCACCATTGGTCCTGAGAAGCTTTGGCTGGCATTATAATCTCTTGAATTTGGAGGAGGAGTCAATGAAGGTGAAGGGAATTCAGCTGAAACAGTTTCCCATGAAGTATTTTCATTTTTCCATCTGTGTCTTCGATCTAAAAAGGTCGGTTTTGATGGTGATTTGACCATTTCGACCTTCCATGTCAGCATGGCTACAATTTCTGACATGGGTGGCCTTGTGTTTGCATGAGCTTGAAGGCAAAGTAAAGCTACATGAATTGTTTGCATAACATCTTTCTCTATAAAACCAGCATTTCTTATTCTTGGATCCACTAGATCAATCATCTTTGACCTCTCGTGTAGCTTCCATGCCTATTATCATGCAAGAGGGTATTTTAGGAAAGCTTTTATATTGTCAATAAATAAGATGAAGATGACCTACATATTCCGGGAGGTATTGCATTTCTGATGTTAGTGTAAGATCTGTATTTTTCCTGCAGCTAATGATTTCAAGCACAAGAACTCCAAAACTGTAAATGTCAGCTTTTTCAGACAATTCTCCTCTAATTGCATATTCAGGGGCTGTATAGCCTCTACAAAACAACAAAAAGACAAACATTACACTCTATGGGTCAAAACAATGTTTTTATCAAGGGTATTTTGGGAAATTACAGTGTTCCAGCAAAAGTTGTGCTAAGATAAGCTTGATCCTCAGGGAAGAATCTGGCCAATCCAAAATCTCCAATTCTTGGTTGAAATTTGTCATCAAGAAGAATGTTAGCTTTAATATCTCTATGAACAATACGAAGATGTGAGTCCTCATGTAGATACTGTAATCCTCTAGCAATGCCCAGTATTATTTGGAAACGAGTGTTCCAATTAAGATATTGATCACTTTTGCCTGTTCATTAGAAAGACAGAAAAAGTAGATGGATGAAAAGGGAAGTGCATGTTGAACAGAATTTAAGTTAAGTACCATAAATAATGTGGTCTAAACTCCTGTTCTTCATGTATTCATACACGAGTAGTCTTTGAGGCCCTTGAGAGCAGCACCCAAGAAGTCTAACAAGGTTCTTGTGTTGTATACTTGTGATCATCTTCACCTCTGAAAGAAATTCAGCTTCTCCTTGTTGTGATTTGTCAAGAGCCAATTTCTTTATAGCAACTAGCAGCCCCATCTTCTAATTTACCCTATTAAAAGCCCTTAAACGTCATATATATCTCTACCTTGAACAGCGTTGGAGTTTCAATTTAGGAAAAATAGTAACACTTTATTGCAAAAAAGTAAAAATTCATTGCTCATTTCCAGGGTTTTTTGAGATACTTACAAGATAAACAGGCCCAAATCCACCTTTACCAAGAAGATTAGACTCATGGAAATTCTTGGTCGCCTTTTTTAATGCTTGGAAGCTAAAATAGCTTATTGTCCGAAGATTCCCACTGAGATAATCTTTTCCAGCTGTAATATAAAGGCAATTTCGCATCGTAAACAAGAAGATTAATCTCAAAAACCATCAAAGATCATAAAAAGTTTGGAAAAAAGTGACAACCTTTGTTGCTGTCTTTACGCTTTATCAATTTTTTCAAATGTGATGGTCTGATAAATTTCCGAAAAACAAATGCAAGAATCACCAAAAGTAGAAGCACAATCAATCCTGCCAGGAAGAAGAATATGGCGGATGAGGAGTGGCCGCCGGCAGACGGACTTTCTTGGTTAAGTACTAATGCCGCTGGAGGAGCCGCTGCATTTACAGTGTAATTGTGTTCTTGTTAAGCAAACATGATATACAGTAAATATTTGTATCCTTCTCAAGTCAAAACTCCCATGTACACCAAGTGTTTGTTCAAATGTTCCTGAGGGGAATTATGAAAAATCCCAATTGCTCGCTTACATAGTAAAGATTTTCAATAAAATCAAGATAAATTACCTTCAAGTATGCGACGCATGGTTTTTCTCTTTCAAATTGTATTCAGTATTCTCCAAGTACTCATTATTAGCCGAAAGAAAAACGGCGGGAATTCTGAGGAACCAGCCAGCTGATCAAACACGAATAACTTTTTGCTGTTTTGGAGAGATCCAGGGACAGGGAGAGAAGCCAACGACAATATGGAGATGATCGAAAAAGACATCGTAGAGTATCTGAGATTTCCATGTGTTTATAAATCCGAGGTGAGAGGAAAAATGAAAAAGGGAATATTGTCTTCTTGTTGAAGTCGGCTAATCAAGAAATGGAGTTAGGAGCAAGAAAGAATGATCGACGCTTCGCTGTGATTCGACTTTGCGAGTATCATATTGATATGGAAGCTTTCTTGTTTCTAGCCGTTGTCTTGACTTATAATCTCCGGCGAGTTTAATGCTGATCAATGATCATTAGTCGAGTCCCAACGTTTTTTCGATTTTACAATTTTATAAAATTAAGACAGAATTTACAAAAATATCCCTGTATATTTAGTCGAAGATTGACATTTTGGTTCTTTTGAACAAACACCACATGTCCAAAATTAATTTTTTTAATAGATTTTGGTCCTAAACAAAAGTAGAAATACTATTTTGCCTTTATTATTTTATTTTTCTCATTTTTACCTACTTTATTATTTTTCAGATTACCAAAAAAAAAACCCTAACACCCAACCCACACCTAATCTTTAACGCACACAAACTATGTCTATCTCTTTTCACTGTCTCGCCAGATGTCACCGTCAACTACCCAAACGACCGGAGCCATCACCCTTCGCCGTATCACTACCATCTTCACGCCATATGTTCATCGTCGGAGGCATCAAAACCATAGCATCTCCCTCATCGGTAACCCTAGTGCCACCTTCACCAGCGCTTTCAGATCTCATTCAGATGATCTTCTGAGTGAGAGAGAGAGAGAGAGAGAGAGAGATAAAGGCATCGTTGACAAATATGCAAACCCTAACTTTGATATGCAAACCCTAACACCCCGTTGTTCAAATCTAAAACATCCATGGCAAGCGACGGAGGCAACGATGACTTTTGTTGTGTGAAAACACTAAATCGCTTGGGTAGAAGGGTGTCAGATCCGGCTCCGGTGTCTACAAATTGAAAGGTAAATAGTGGAGATGATCTTCCATAAACATATCTGAAGAAAAGGGTGCTTTCGGGAACAACTGGTCAAGGTTTCCGATAGTGGAACCCCTAGATCGTTCGTACCTAGTTACATCTGAAACTCTAGCTTGCGTTTTTCAGATCTAAGAGGAAGAAGATAGAGGGTTCATTCTGGCGAGGAGGCAATGAAGGTGGTGATGGGTGGTTGTTCGGCAACAATGAAGAGAGAGAAAAAGAGAAAGTTTATTTAAATGTGACGATGGGTAGGTGGGTGGGTTAGCAGGAGGTGGGGTAAATGTTTATATTTTGTGTCACACCCCCAAACCGAGATGGCAGAAACATTCGGGGGCGGAGGACGTCATGTATAGTATCATAACAATGCAAAATAGTAAAACAATCAACAACATCCATTGCATTAATAGAATAGTTAATACATGTGTGTTCTGAGTATAGTTGTATGACACCAAAAATGTATATATCAAAATAAAAGACGGGACTTGAACATGCTTCGTCTTCTAAAAAAAGCTGGTCCAGTGTACTTGTCTACTGGTTCCCTGAGAATACAAGTTATTTTGAAAGAGAGTGTCAACATTTAAGTTGGTGAGTTCATAAGTATTTAATGTCAAATGTTTGTGTTTGTCTCATGAAAATGTTTCTGTTTGTTTAGTAAAACGTTTGTATACTTCCCAGAAAATCCTATATTTTCTTCTAAAATGAAATGTAGTCTTCTACCCAAGACCCGACTGTTTAGTAAGTTTGTTCTCTTGTAAAAAGTATGTTTGTACTTGAAATAGTATAAAGTGTAAGTTTTCCATATTAGTAGTACCATCTTTACTAGAAAAAATAGTATGCATTTTTTATGTAAGTTTATCACTGTATGAATGTAATGGAAAATGAAGGTTTACAGTAGTATTTTATAAAATAACTTACTGATGCATTAACTACCTTTAACCAAATTGGTTAATTTAGACTAAATGTGATTATGTTATAACCATACTTGATTGACTAGTATAAAACACGACGTTTTTCAGGCGTCGAAAATGATATGACATTCGTCACCCGTAGACCTGCAATTCCCACTTTAGCTAGCAGCAAGGTGTGGGATAGTCAATCTCGTATAGATCTATACACAAACTCACGCTCTCCCTCCAGGAGACTCTGGTTACAAAACGTAACATAGCAAGTACATTTCTATGCCATGAAATAGTATCTCACATTTTAGTTATCTTGTTCTGGTTATAGTATATAAGTTCCTTTTCGTTCTCTTAAATGAATAGTATACTTCGTAATTAATAGTAGTGGTATGTATGTACTGACTCATGCATTGTTCCTCTGTTCTAGAAATAGTATGTATTGTTCCTCTAAACTATACCTATTATAGTTTACTAGAATGTTTGTTTGAACTGTTACTGATTTGTAGAAAAGACTCAATTGTCCAACATAAGCAACTGAGTTAAGTATGTTCCTTAAAATGGGGTTTAATATTCATGTATGTATTCAATAAGTATAACTATGATTTAGCCGACAGTCGGACTAGTGATCCTACCCTAAGCCCACAACCAAACAATGAACAGGAGTTACGGTATTTAACAATAGTCCTAAGTCTGTTAAAGCATACTTATACATAAATAGATACACGAATATGATTTTGATAACAACAGAAATCTAAGAATAGTTTTAAAATGGTTTTAACAAGCATTTGAGTATAAGAAATCCTTTTGTTTGACGTTTTCACATGTAAGTGGTTAACCCAATTATATTGTGTTCTACTTGCATTCTCTCCCTAAAAACCATTAAAAAGCATTTAAAACTGTAATTTGTAGGGGTATGAACTCACCATATGATGGTGATTCGATTGGAGATTTGATATAGGAAGATAAGATTCACGGGTGAAGTCCTAAAGCACAAATGAGTCCTATTTAGCATATTAAGACATATATATATATATATATATATATATATATATATATATATATATATATATATATATATATATATATATATATAGTGATCATAATCATAAATATAGCAAGGAAACAGATTGATTTGCAAGCTTAACTTACAAAAGAGGGTGTTAGAATCGAAAATGGAAGGCTGGAAGGAGTTTACGGCCCAAGAACACTCAATGTTCTTGAGTTTACGGCCCAAAGATCTTGAAGATTGAAGAACACTTGAAGATCCTTAGCAATATCTTAAGAAGATTCAAGGGAAAAGGATGATAGTTGAGAGGAATGAGGTTTTTCGGTCTAAGAACTTGAGAGAAAAAGTTGGTGTTCACGTCTAGAAGTGTAGAAGTGAGCTAAAAACAGTCAACACTTATATATAAGGGAGGAGTTCACGGCCGTACACCGAGGGTTCACGGTCCGAGGGCATGTTCACGGCCTGAAGACACGTTCACGACCCGAAGGTTCGTTCACGGCCCAAAGGCTCGTTCACGGACCATGTAAGGTTTACGACCCTCGGTTCCAAAGACTAACCCTCCAAAACATACAACACTTTAAGAATGCTAGATTTATAGACTTATAAATTCATTACCCTAACCATATTAAGATAATAAAAGAAATAAGTTTGACCCTTGATTGATATGTTTGACTTTAGTCGACCAAGTTTGACTTTTACAAGATAGAAATTACGGGTTGTCACATTTTGATTTATCTAATTGTTGTAATAGAAGGAAAATGAAAAATCAAATTAAAAAGGGTAAATTCTTCATTTTAAGGATTTTGAAATTTTTTAGACCAAAACCTCAAGAAAAAAAACCTAGACAAAACTACCAAAATGATCTCTATGGTTTGTATTTTTTTTTTCTTCAGAAAACACGTCCAAACCTTGAAAATATTGGATAAAATGTCATTTTCAGCAATTTTGCTTGTGATTTTGGTCCATGTCCAAACTAAAAAGAATTTTTTTACCACATATATATATATATATATATATATATATATATATATATATATACACACACACACACACACGCACACACACACAAACACATACACACACTAGGTGAATGCCCGCGCACCTAGTGTGTGTGTATGTGTTTGTGTGTGTGCGTGTGTGTGTGTATATATATATATATACACACACACACACACGCACACACACAAACACATACACACACACTAGGTGAATGCCCGCGCGTTGCGCAGAAACTCCTATATAGTTGAAATTTTTACAAATATATGTTTTTTTTAAATATAACAATAACTTTGTTGTTAACTTTCATATAATAATTCGTATACTAAATTGATATAATATATTGATTATTTTGAATTATATGATAATATATACATCTATTATAACTGCATAATTTCAACCGTTTGAATGACTTCTACCCGCGAGTTACTCATGAAAAAAATTAAATATAATATATAGTTTAATGTTATTTATAGTTGTTATTGTTAATTAATTTTTTAAAATTTATTTGCTTAACGTTTTAATTTCTATCATTATAATTATTTAAAATCTCAAACATTGTTTTTTGATTTTAAATGTAACAATATAATCATTTATATAGAATTATTTTTAACTATTGTTATTGTAAGTTATTTTAAGCTACTTATTTGAAAACTTTTAACGATTATACAAATATCTTTAGGAAATATTTTAGTTAATCTGAGATTATAATTTAGTTTTTGCATTTAGCACTACAGTTTATCACTTTTAACTATTCACAAAATATTCATTGGGTTTTTTAAGTGGAACTGAAATTTATATTTAAGTTGACACTGTAATATTATATTTAAATCAACAATTTAAGTATTTTTCCAAACTGTTCAAAAGTTGTAGCTTTAAATTGATAATGATTTACATACAACAACATATTAAATCTAAAAAATTAAATATAATATGTTAAAAGTTAAAGACATAACTT